TATATTTTTTTGCTGTTTGCAATATTTTATTTTTTGTATTCTTTTGGTACTTTTTTTTAAATATTTTTTTATTTTTTAACCATTTTCACTTAATTTAATTTTAATAATATTATTTTATTTAAAACAAGATTGTTATTCTAGTTAAATCTAAAATAAGTATAGTTAACAATACAACCAATAATCATATAGCACTATTTTTAAGTTAAGTTAATTAATAAATATTTTATTATTATTTTTGATTATAATAGAAGAAATTTTAATTTTACTATTAGTAAAACTTCTAATTAGAATTTGTTTTTTATTAATTTATTAATTACTTTGCACTATGCAGCTACTTTATGTTTTCGTTTTAAAAAAAATAAAATTGCTGCCAAATTTTTATAACTATCTTATGAAATTAAACCTTTGTCGCATGTATAAATAATAGAATCAATAGATTTAAATGATTTTGATTTTGCAAAATTTACTTTAATATGTTTATTAAAAATTTTAACCCTAGATAATCCAAATCTGCATTTAAAGATCTATATTCTTCTAATAATTTCTTAGAATATGAATGAATATTTAAAACCAACAATTTTAAATAGTAAACCTTTTGTGATCTAGACTTGAGATGCAAATATAATTTTTTGAATATTGCTTCTACATAATTCAAGACATTGTAGATCCAATTCAAATAAAATTGCACCTGATAAAATAGTATTGCTATTTGGATTTAATCTCTAAAATATTAATAACAATAAATAATTTAATATTATATAAAGGATTTAAATACTTTAGATGATAATTATATCTTTATAAATTTTTGTATAGAATCACTAGCAGATTTTGTATTCATTACTCTATGATTTTGTTTACTTTATCTTCTGCCCATATCATCACAAATTTTATGTTTCCATCAAACTGATAATTTGTTTGACATGTAAAATTTTACTTATACACTAAAACCCAAACTCGATAATCATCAGAAAATCTGATATCTACTTATTTTGTCTGTTGTTACATATTTAGGATAATCTTCCAATCTCAAAACATTATACTAGTAATTATAATTATGGTTACCAATGCGACATGTTATATTGATCACTGGAAAATTATCTTCAAGTTCGATTATATTCATAACGATCAAATTTTTAATAATAAAAATCGATAAAAAAAATTAAATTATTCATAAATAATTTATAAGCAGATTCATAACGGTTTCATAAGCATTTCATAACAAAAAATTCAATCAACCAATCGAATACGATCGTTCAATTAAATTTTATTATAGTTTTACATTTTATCCCAGCAATTACACAATATCACATAATGGTTGGATCAAATTTTATAAATTATTATCATTTATTTATAATCATTACCAAAATCGACAAAATCTGCCCATACGATTATACCAAAATAATAATTTAATCCGGATCAGTCGAAAAATTATTTGGCAAATTTTCACAGGTATTCTAGGAATTATGATAATAAGAACGTGAACTAGATAGTCTTATACAGGATGTTGAAAATGTAAGATGAAACATGGAATATGAAAAAATAAGAATGGAATTTAATGCTGAAAATAAAAAGAAACAAATGGAATTTGATGCTGAAAATAAAAAAAAGCAAATGAAATTTAACGCAGAAAATAAAAAACAAATGGAACTCGATACTGAAAATACAAGAAAGAAAATGGGACTTGAATATGAAGCTCGTAAGCGGGAAACTGCAAATGAAGGGAGAAAAATGGAGCTTAAATTTGAAGCTCACAAACGAAATATTGAACTTAAGGCCGTTTTGAATTTCAAAAAAAGAAAGCTGAAATGGAACATCAACACAGAATTGCTGAATTGATAGTACAAATAAAACAATCCAAATTGTAAGCCGTAAAAGAGTTTTTGCTCGCTTTTATGAAAACAATTCACACGATTATCGAACAAAATGCCAATATATTTCAGGCAGTAGATCCTCTTTTAAACTAACTCAAAAACGAAAAGGCTGTGTATAATAGATTAATAAATATTCAATAAAATGCTAGCATAATCGTCTAAGAAAAAAAGTTAAAAATTAGACTTAGTTTATAATAAAAGTATAAATAGATTTAAAACTTAAATAAAATCCAAATTTTAATTTAATTTAATTTTAATCAATAAAAATTTATCTTAATATACAAATTTGTATATTAAATTTAGATAGTTTAAAATAAAGTATTTAATAAACAAAATAATTTTATTATTACTTATCTATATATTAAATTAAAAATTATATCATTAATATAATAAATATATATATAAATAACAAAAAAAATAACAAAAAAATAAAAAAATACCGGTATTAAAAGAAAAAGTATCAAAAAAATAAAAAAATATTTAAAAAAAAGTACCAAAAGAATACAAAAAATAAAATATTGCAAACAGCAAAAAAATATA